GCTAAACTTTGATCAGTTAATAAAAAAATAGCTATTCTAGTACGCTAGCAAAAAACACTCACCCGACTAAAAAAAGAAAAAAAGAAGGAGAATTAAGATTATGTTTATTTCAATCCTTTTTCGCATCTATGCTCATCCACTTCAAGGGTAACGTTCTGTTTATTCAATATGCTTAGAATTTTAATGTAAAAGATAGATGTTTAAATGTTCAAAAAGGAACTTATTGATAATATTGGTTTTTGTAATATTTTCTTTTTCGACATGAAAGATAAAAGTTTATAAAGATTTTTAAAAGACGTCGATTATACTTGTTATAGTTCATTGATAAACTGTCTAGGCATCTATCGCATTGCGCATCAGCCGCTTGACCAAAAAAGAAAAAGAAAATTTGTCAACGAATAACTTTTTAATCGCTTATGATAGTGAAGAAAAAAATGTAGCTGTTTAATGAAATATTCATCTAGTCCTATATTCTAACTGATATATTTCGAGCAATGGCTAAAAAAACAAAAATTCGTCAACTAATACCCTTTTGATCTCTAACGATATTGAAGAAATAAGCGTAGCTGTTCCATGATTGCTTGACCAGCCATTTATTGTAACTCATCTATTTCAAGCAAGGACCAAAAAAAAAAGAAAATCTGGTGAATTAATAACCTTTTAATGTCTAACGATACTAAAGAAATAAACGTAGTTTTTTTAATAAACACTCAGGTGGTCACGCATTCTAATTGTTTTTTTCGAGCAAGGATTATTTCGAGCGTTGAATACGTCTTTGACTTGTTTATAATAAGTTATCAAATCGATTAAGATATGCATGAAAATGTTTAAATAGATACGATGATTTTTATATAGCGATAGACTTTCAATTGCTGGTTACAATAAGCAGTCCTATACGACATTTTGTTAAACGTGAATTAGGTATTTAAATCATATAATAGCTGTATATATTTTTTTCCAAAGAGCTTTTTTAAACAACTATGATAATGTTTAAATCGCGATAAATTTTCAATACGTAGTTACATGAAATACTGCTATAAAGAAAAAGTTGTTACAAAACGATCAGCTACTTAATCATTAAGTAGCTGTACATTATTCGAAAAAGTATCTCTTTTGAGAAGCTACAGTTTTAACATTAGTATGTTTCTAAACATCCTTCATCGCTTCATATACTAACACCAGTTAACCAATTTTTGCACCACATAGTAAAATTTTCAAGTCAGAATTTTGTAGGACAAAAGAAATGTAACACCAAGATGTAAAACGTGAATCAAAATCTGTGAAACACTTATTCGTAAGACGACCAAGAATAATCTTTTCATTCATGGTTTGCATGATTACTATCTTTTATTGAAATTTGCTCTTTAAAGATTTAAGATGTTTATTTGTTTGTTCATAAAATTGTTTTCGACATTCAACTTCTGATGTTGAATGAGAACTCATCACTATACTTATGATACGATTAAATATATGAAAATGAATGGTTTGCTTTTTTATTTAAAGTTTATGTAAACAAATAGTTTTTTTTTCTATTTATAGTTAGAGCAACAATCAATAAAAAATTTCGCTATTTCACGCCTACTAAAACGAATTCTGTCTAAGTTTAATTTTGGTTGGGACACATATATTCAAATTTTTTGCTGGCTTGAAGTTGATTCATTAGAAGCAAATATTTGACGGAGACGAAACACGACATTTTTACAGATTATTTCATGCAGTCCATATTTGTATTTTGATTAGAACTGCCTCAATTCAAACTACGAGTAAGCCTCGTTATACACGAGTTTGCAGAATAAAGCTTGCTCTACAAAATATTGAATTTGCTTTGCTTTCAACATATCGTTGCAAACGATCAGAATCTGTTGCATTTTAAATACCAAAATTCGCAAAAAAACAATTATTTTGAAAAATGTCACTTTATGTCAAGAGTAACATTTCGAAAAATGTTTGTAACTTTTGAGTATTTCAAGTTCTAGCTTATTGTAATCCATGATTTTGTACAATATTAAATTTTCCACAACAATAGAAAGTGAAAATTACGGATGAGGGAAAAAAAAGCCTGCTTTATCTGTTCTAAACGATATTTTTTATTTGTTCAGATATTTGTTAACAGCTGACTAGTGTTAAGTCAGAGTGAAATTCTAAAGATATATTTAGAAGAAGCATTAAATTCTCTCCTGCAATCTATAAATGGACGAAAATCGAACAGAAAACATGTCGTACTATAAATAAAATATACCAACTTGGTTATTATCAGGCGTTATTAGTGATCTTTGAATGAACCTAATATTTGCAGTGAATGAAAATAATTGATCTAGACGACCCTCAAGTAAACAAAGACAATCATCTAGATTTTCCAGATTAATAAGTATTCAGAGGTCGATTGAGAAGTGAAAGTTGAGTACTATTGCCTTTTATTCATCGATTTATATTCAAATCAAACAAATTTGTACAGATGGCAAGAATATGTGTAGATGCATCTGATCTGTTCTAGGAACAAGCGAGCGATTGGCAATACTTCTAATTATATGATTATATAGATATTCATAGTATGATGATATTACAAGACTATTCTTTACCTGTTAAATAATCTAAAAGTATGTTCGGTTGAGATATTACAAAGAGAATCATACAAAGATTAGGATATTGACAAGCAAGGAGAATACGTTCCATAGAAATCATCAATGTTTATCTGCTGCATTCATTAAACTATTGTCTATCCTTTCTATTAATTATTTAGAAAATCTAGCAAAAAGTATCATCACAACTATATGAAAATAACTGCAAGCATTC